AAAATATCAATTCATTTCTTGGAAATGAACCATTAGCGCGTGATAAATCTTTTTGGTTTGGAATTCTTGACATTGCGCAAGAGCTAGCAATCAGATCAAAATCATTCAAGACTTTAAGTTTCATTTATTATTTAGCTCTGCAATCATTACAGCGTGCACGTGGGAACTACATCTGTTCGAAAGCAATTGAGCTTTTAATTACTCTTGCTACAAGACACTCAATGTTTTTGTCAGAATTCAAAGTAAATTTTGTAGAATTTTTGGTTGGTTTAAACAACTACGGGCCACATGAACGGGAGAAATGCCAGAAGCTTTTTAATATAACCATTCGAAGATTCTATTTATGTAGGTATATGACTGGTGATTCTATTTATGTAGGTATATGACTGGTGATTATATTATAAAGTATCATAATAAGGTATACCAGTCAGAAGCAGGTAATTCCTTTACTTCGCTTCCCAATAACTCTCATACAAAAGAGACCGTTCCATTGGATATTATTACAAATGAACTAGTATGTCCAATTACTAATGATTATAGCGAAGTCTTTAAAAAATTGCCATGTAGACACTACCTTAGTGAAGTTGGAATCAAAGGATGGGCCGAAGAGTGTAAAAGCAAGAATAAGCTTTTTTCCTGCTGTATTTGTCGTGCTGAGTTCCAAGATAAAGATGTTGAAGATGCGCCATTATCTCCCTTACACCGTGACATGTATAATCAATTAGTTTCTATAGGTTATTTGTCCAGACAAGAAACGATAACTGCATTTCTTCCACCTGAAGTCATCATTGGTGTCCAACAAAATTCCAGAATTAAGATAAAAGTTTTTGGATTAATCAAGAAGCGTAGTTTAGCATATAAACAAGCAGAAGCTTCTTTAAAAAACGAAGATTATGTGTTGGCCATTTATTGGCTAAACTATATTCTTGAAACCTGGCCGGATAGTTATAGCATACGCTGCAAACGAGCATGGGCATTACAACAAGTCGGGGATCTTTATCAAGCAATCTCAGATTTGAATATTGCTGCTTATTTAAAACCTTCAAAAACAGATGCTTGGAATCTTCTTGCTAGTGTATATATTCGAATGGGTGTTCCTAAATTGGCACTCCATCATATATCTCAGGCCCTTAAACTTGATCAAGGGAATCCTCAATTTTTATTAATGCGTAGTACAATATATAAAAAATTATGTCAACATGAGAATGCATTACGTGATTTAGATCTGATTTTGTCTTCTCAATCATTGAGCTCATCTCGGTTAAAGCCATTGATCGCAATGTTTAAATTTAAAAATTCAAGATACATTCAACCAGAAAATAAGACTATCATAATTGATACTTTGATGAAACGCAGCCAATTATATTATGATCAAAATAATTATACTTTGGCTAAAAATGACTTGGAAAAGCTTTTAAATTGGGAAAATAACCATTTTGAAGGGCTTAAATTACGTGGAAGGATTCATGCGATTACATATCAATACTTCTCGGCTATATCGGATTTTGACCATTTACTGGAGCTTAATCACAAGGATGCAGCCTTATTACGTTTGAGAGCAAGTTCATATTCATTAATAGGCAAATTCGAACAAGCGTTAAAGGATTCAAATCTCGATTTAGAACTTTATCCAACAGATGGGTACTCGTATTACTGGCGGGGCACGATCCTTTATAAAATGGGCAAGTACGAAAGTGCGTTAGATTATATGTATGCCGCATATATTGTTGAAGGCCCAAATGCAGATTTTTATGAACTTCAATGTTTTTGGATTTATTTTCGTTTATTTCGTTACAAGGATGCACTTTCTTATGTTAATGGAATTATTGAATATTACTATAAAGAAATTACTGATGGAAACAGATACTATATTAGATTTATTTCATTAAGGGGATTTCTTTATAGCATTTTGGAAGATAAAGAAGAAAATGCTTTAAATGACTTTCGGATAATATTAGAAGTTGATTCAGAATATTTAGATGCATTAACTAACCGTGGTAATCTGTACACTAGACTTCAGAACTTTGAAAAGGCGAGGAAAGATCTTAATACCGCAATAGAGATTTACCTAAAATATGGTGGTACAAATTACGCAGTATTCCAAAATCGTGCATATTTGTATTATAAGATGAGAGATTATGAAAATGCTTTAAAAGATTTGGATGCATCAGATAATTTGTGTTCTGAAATGAGTAGTATGGCATCGTCGAAAAAAGAATTTAGCAGAATATCTCACCTTTATCGGGGAATCATTTACCATAAACTTGGGAAATATGAAAATGCATTAGAAAATTTGGACAAGTCAATAGAAATTTTGCAGGACAAAATGACTATGATTCCACTTTTCGAACGTGCGTTTGTATATTGTTCAATCAGCCGTTTTGAAGACGCATTAATGGATTTAAAAAAAGCATTAATAGTTGAACCAAAAAATGTTTACATGTCAAAAGCCATGACCAAAGGAATTAGCCTTTATGGAACTATGTATCGTTTTGATCCTTGCATGGAAACAAAGCTTAATTGGTTAGATCTCCGAAACCCAAATCCACAAATGCCACTTTCAACCTTGAAACGTCTTAAAGAGGAAACAACATTCCAAGACGATACGATTGACATATTTGAAGATAACTAACTTTCTGGGAAGGCTAAGAGGACTTGTATTTATACATTTTATTTTCATAGGGAATAATTTCACTACTCTCTATTTCTAAAGCCTCATAGCGTATAGGCTTTACTATCGTCGCGTATATGCTTTACTATCTAAAGCGTCTACATTCTGTACAATATCGCGTATACACTCCGATTTCCCTCAGCCGACTCAACACATAGCCGATAGTGTATACGCTTCAATTTACTAAGCTAATTACCTATTATGGCTATAAGCCACATCCCTTTTCCCTCAAGCCATTCCTAAACTAAAACGGATAAAATTAAAATAATAATAAAAAAAATGAACCGTGGTTTTGGCTCAGGGACCCGAGGACCAGTTTAGATCCTATCACTGTACAAATTACGTATACAGATTAGAAAAGATCCAGTGATCGGGTTGATTATCTAGTGTCACCAAAATGAAACTTGAAAATCTTATATGAATCCTAGTATTCATTGGTTACGTTAACGTTCATTGTGTCTATTTCTGGAACTTTACGTTTCACTAGCTTTTTGGAAAGGTTATCATCGCTATTGTTATTATTACGCCTTAACATTAACGTTAATTGAACCTCTCAGTTTGTACATATGTAAATTTATATTGTAATCTTTCAATGATGCGAATCATATATATTACGCCGAATCATAAGGTAATACACGACTAGCATTAAATAGGATCGGGTTGGAAAAAATATAGCACGGATAAAAGAATTGTGCTTTGCTAGGGTTCGAATGTCAATAACTATTTGTACTTAATGAAGAACGAGATAATTATGAATTTTTACACACTTTCTAGGACTTTTATTCCACCTATATACAGTAAGTACAGGTCATCATTCTAACTTCATACTTATATACATATCCAGTTACGATATTAAATTATTTTAGATTCTCAATTATAATCTTGATGCTAATACAACAAGGATTTTTAACTATAGCATTGATTGGTACAATACTGTAATGGTTTTACCGACTAATTAGGATTGTTACTGTATAATGGCTGGGCACTATCGCTATTATTGTCGTCAGTTAGGTGACAATCAATATCAACAAATAAGTACATATGTACTTATGCGTAGTGTTTTATTTCAACTTCTAAATGTTGTACATGTTTTACGAATGTCTCACAATATGTTCTACTGTGATTTTCCGAAAGCCATTTTCCCGAAAAAAAAAATTATGATAAAATCGGCCATCAATGGTTATAATACAAGAAGATTTTTTCATAATTACATCAGAAAAATAATATTTGGGGATTTGGATTACAGTAATTTAAGACAGTGTTTATACTTAAACATAAATTGTTCTTATATTTGATGTAATTTTATTATTGTCACAAAATGTTATTGTTTTTTACGTATTATAAAATCTCATCAAAATTTTTAAATGGTTTTTTTTAAAAAGTTTATTTTTTATAATCATAAATTATAAATTCAAAAAATTTTATGAAAAATTAATGCTTCATTTGCAAAAAAAAAAAAATAATTTAATGAAAGATGAATATCCAAGAAAATGAATTATCGCGGTTTGCAAATTGATGTACTTTTTGATCAAATTTGTAGATCGCTGCATACCCATACAATCACCTGATTGTAGTCCGATTGCGCGATTGTACAAGATT